CTTTGGCAAAGCTCGTAGGCGGGCCCCAGCAACCGCCGAGCAGCGGTGGCCAATTGACAGCGGAGCTATCAAACAGACAAATGCCTTGACCAATGGTAGTAGAAAGGCGGGCATGTGCATGATTGGCGGCTAGATTTCTCCATTGAAAACTGGGGGCGTGGGTGGGCGGAGCCGGAAGTAGAGCCAGACGAGAGGCCCCAGTCCACCAGGGGCGGAGAGAAGGGGGAGGGAACTAGAGGAGGAGGAGGTTAGCCGAGGCTGCTACAGCGGCGGCGGCGGCGGCGCAGGGGCTGGTACGCGCTGGGCGGCGAGAGCCTCATGGCGGAGGAAGAGAGCGATCAAGAGGCCGAACGCCTCGGAGAAGAGCTCGTGGCCATTGTGGAGTCCCCGCCAGGCCCTGCGGGGCTTGGAGTTGCGGGCGACGGCAACGACGGCACTGGCGGCAGCAGCTGCGGTGGCGGCGTCGTCGGGATCAGCAGTCGGGATTACTGCCGACGCTTCTGTCAGGTGAGGCGCCCGTCGGCCGCTCGGACTTGTCACCCGGGTACTGGGCCTCCCTGCGTCTCCTGGCCTCCTGGTCCTCGAATCAGGGCTGTGTCCGGTGCTCACTCCGCCAGCCCAACAAGGAGAGTGAGGGTGAAGCTCCCCCCTCCACCTATCCGGCTTGGGGTGGGGGGCGGGGAGCGGGGAGCGAGACGGGCATGACCCGTGGGTCTAAGGGTTGCTGAAAAAGTGAGAGTTTGTCGCGGGTGGAGGGGCTGGAGCGGAGGGTCAGCTGGCAGGAAAGCGCTGGAGTACTGACATGCCTCCCCTTCCCCAGACAGACCCCTTTCTGCCGGAGGGTCCCGCCTTCTTGTGCTTCCCACCCAGTTCCTGCTCACTTCATTTGGAATCTCTGGCAACATTTCCTGCCTTCCCTTCTCCGCCCCTGGTGCCCCCTCGGGCCCCCTTTTTCGGAGATGGGGCTTGCCGTGTCTCTACCGCTCCCTCTCCTGTCATCGCCACCCCTCCCCCTCTGCTAGGGTCTCCTGTCATCCCTGCACGAGACCCCGCCGGGACAATTCTGTTGGTTTAGGCGCTGACCCACGGTGTTTTAGATACTTTTTTTGGGGGGGGGGGGAGAGGCGGGGTTAAGACAGGGTGATTGTCATCTTTTCTTTTCTTATCCCCTTTCCTCGACCGAACAGTGACAATAAATTATTTACTTGGTCAACTGTCACTCTGATTTGATGTAGTTTGAAGTGTTTGGCCATAATCAAATGTTATAGCACCGAAGTACTTCTAGGGGTAAAGTTGTGTCATCTACATTCACATCTACATATATTTATAAACATTTTTCCTCATTCACAACAGTCTTGTTTTGCAAACTGTTTTGGCAGAAAGTTTTACTCTTTTTTTCCAACCCATTCTTTTATTTATTTATTTTTTAATTTGCTCATTATCTTATGAATAGAGTTCAAATCATGGCTCCACCACTTCCTAGTTGTTACCTTGGACAAGTTACTTAATCTCTCTATCCCACCGTTTCTTCTTCTAACAAATGGGTTTGGATCCTTTACATATTAATTAAAGTTGGCTATTTCATTCTGGTAACAAGTAGAAAATACAGTTAACAGGAGGTAAGCATCATATTTGCTGAAATTTGATTTTTATGCCTTTCCAAACATTGAAAGGGAAAGGATGGAATTGAAATTTTCAGGCAAGTTTTTAATACTTTAAACCGTCTTTTGATTTTTGTTTCATTCCTTCTTATCATAAATAAGAAGGTGGAAACTGTCTTGGTATAAAGGGCGTGTATTTTTTCTTTGGCATTGCTCTCTATTTAGTGACTTTCTTGAAAATATTTTTCCTTATTTTTATTTATTTTGGTAGTGGCATTCACTGGATTTAGAGATTCAGTGTCTTTACAATACTTGTTTTCTAACTATATGTTTTACATCTGGAAACCATGTTATCGGTAGACTTCGTATCTATGGGAATTTTAAACATCTGAAAATTAGTTTATGATTGATCTTTTTAATATATTCATAGGCTGAAAATCTTTTTATTTTCTCTTTTGCTTTTTTAAAATATATTTTTATTGATTTCAGAGAGGAAGGGAGAGGGAGAGAAAGGTAGAGACATCAATGATGAGAATCATTGATCAGCTGCCTCCTGCATGCCTCACACTAGGGATAGAGCCTGCAACCCAGGCATATGCCCTGACCAGGAATCCAACAGTGACCTCCTGGTTCACTGAACCACACCGGCTGGGCCTGTTTTCCTTTTGATATCATTAATAAGCAAGTTGGTTTTGGTTACCTTTAGCTTTAATTTACTTGATCAAATAACCCTTAATTGCTGAAATTGCATTGAAATTTTATTTGAGGGCCAGAACATTTTTGGAGAATCTTTAACTCTTATTATATTTCGTGAAATCAGTTTTAAGAACAGATGAATAAATTTAGCCTGTGAAATACAGTGTCTGAACAGTGACAGTAAATTATTTTAAGTACCAATGAAGTTGACTATTTTAAAAAACTCCAATACCACCTAAATATACAAGGAAATAAAACTAAACAGGAAGAACTTAAACTTTTATTTTTACATTGCTAAGTTATGAGTTAAGTTATGCTGACATACTTTTATGCTACCAACTTTTACCTGAAATCTTACATGTTTTATAATATTCTAGATTAGCAATAGATCTGTTCTTAGGGCTCCTGTCCTGGATCCACCCTGCAGGTGAGCTTTGTGAAGTTTTTTTTTTTTTTTTTGTACTAAAACATTAAGATAGAATAAAAGATTACCTATGTTAAGTTGAATTTTATGCATTGATTAATACATTCTAACAGTACAGTAGTTCTGTTTTATTTGCCACCAAAGGAAGAAGTGGATTATGTAATCTAATTCCCAAAGATTGTTGTTGTTTTTTTTCTTTTTAACATTTGGTTTCCTAATATTTACTAAGGGTAAGGTAATATTAAGTAACTTGCACTCATTAGTGAATGACTTAATTGTGAGTAATCCATAAAATGGATAATATGCGCTTGGGTGGGTGACAGTTAATGAAATATATGATTTATACTCAGTCTTGTGCACTGAAAAGAAAGGCTCCAATTTATATTTCTCTTTTTAGAAAGAAATCTGAATAAAAATGTCTTGGGCAGTTAGTTGTGTGGGTGAAGGGGAGGTTCTGTGTCTTTTACCACAAGGGAAAATAAAACAGAAGACAATAGGTAATATAAGTGATAAATTATGCATCCATTCAATGCATTTGAGGATATACTTGTTTACTTGAGAAACAATACCAGTAATTATAAAATCTTAGACTAAGGGAATAGTCCCTTAGGCTTAAACTGATTTTTGTGATGATGGATTTGGGAGATTGTAAGTGTTAATTTCGAAATAGTTACTTGGCGTAATGTCCACTAACTGCCCCTATCACATCCTCCCTTAACTCTTATTAGTGGACTCTCAACAAATGCTTAAATTAGCTCTTAATTTATATTTAATTTCCTTTGAGGATGAAAGGAAGAGGAAATTAATTTTTATTGAGGGTCCTACTAACTCTTAAAGCCTTCAGTTAGGTCCTGTTATGCAAGTTTCATAGTTGAATTTGTCTTCATTTCTGGTAGGTGGACCAGCTGCGATTTGAACCCAGACTTCAATTTCTACTGAAAGGCAGATTAAAATTACAAATAAATTTGCAAATAATTATAAAGTGAATTGTTTATGACAAGTTGTGCAAAGGGGAAAAAATAGTTACTGGATGTACTCAGGGAATCAAGGATGAAAAAGTCTAAAAGTAGTCTTTCATTAGGCCATAGTGTTAAAAATATTTCAAGGAACAGTCTGATTATTATTTCTCTGACTTGTTAGGTGCTGTGAACATTTCCCCTATTCCTGAAGATTATAATAATTGAACTTATTTTTTTGCTAGATGTATTGAAATGCTTTGATCATAAATTGATTGTAAACTAAACAAGTAGCTCAGTGCTAGAATGATTACAGTGAATAAGTATTTCTGGAAATACTTTGATATGTTGGTTAAAATACTTTAAAATTGTTTCTGACTAAAATGGGGTTAATAGTCATCCCATGAGGATGTCATGAGTATAAAAGGAGAGAATGACCATGAAATGTTCAGTACTATACCTAGCATGGAGATAGACATTATTAGACAAAGGCTGTTAATATTTCTCATGTGAAATTCTTTGAAAGTTTAAGAGGAACATTAGAGATAATTCAATCTGAAGGTCACTTATAGTTTGTATCCCACAAAAAACTTTAGAGGAAATTTAGAAATGTTATAATTCTAAAATTCTGTTATTTATCTAGAAAAGCTGAATGCTCCAATAAAGCCCTAAATAATTTGCAATAGCAGCTACATTTTCTCAGAGATTATGTTTCCTGCAGGGGACATTTGGTAATGTCTGGAGAAATTTTTGATTGTCCTAATTGGGATAGGTTGCTATTGGCATCTAGACAGTAGAGGACAGGGATGATGTTGAACATACAGTATGTGAAGCCTTGGTTCTTGTACGTTTCCCATTTAGAGCAATTCAGTTCTCTACCACGTTGTTCACATAAAAAAGTCTCAGTTTTCCAACAAAACTTGGGTTCTGACTTGACAACCCTTTCATGCTGATACTCTATGCTCAGTCACATGTCTTTTTTTAAAATATATTTTATTGATTTTTTAGAGAGGAAGGGAGAGGGATAGAGAGTTAGAAACATCGATGAGAGAGAATCATTGATCGGCTGCCTCCTGTACACCCCCAATTGGGGATGTGCCCGCAACCAAGGTACATGCCCTTGACGGAATCGAACCTGGGACCCTTCAGTCCATAGGCCGATGCTCTATCCACTGAGCCAAACCGGTTAGGCATCAGTCACATGTCTCTTATGTGACAATGGAGAGAATGCCTGAGTATGAGTCAGTTTACTGCTAAACCTTGTTCTGTTAACATCTCAGGAAATTGTGCTGTAAATATTTTTGTGTTTTTGTTTTTTTTTTGCTTATGCTATTGCTTATTATTATTAAATACATGGATCCAAGTCACCATGGATCCTAATGAGGTTAGTGATAGCAGCAAATTGAAAAAGAAGTTGTGAGAACAATGATAGAGCTTTAAAAAAGAAATAATTACAAAGTATGATAGAGGTGTTCATGTGTCTGATCTAGCTATGGAGTATGGCTTGGTGAAATAGGTGATTAGCACAATTTTAAAATATAGAGAGGCCATCAAGAGTACTGATATTGCTAAGGTGTGACAGTGCTCATGAAACAACCATCACTTGAGAAAGGTTAAAATAGGGAATCATTTGTGAGTCTGGAACAGATTAATTCAATTTACATTATTTCTAATGGGGAAAATGATTAGGTTTTCAAACAAATTGCTTCTTGAATAGCCTTCTGGAACTATTTACGTTAATTTTTAACAATTGCTACTAATTAGAATTATTTTAAAATTCACTTTTTTTAAGGATATTTTTTCATTGATTTTTAGAGAGAGTGGAAGAGA